TGGCGATGTTTGAGAAACGGTTCGTTGAAGATCGATTCGACCTTTCGATAAACTATTCAAAGCTCGTCCAGTTTACGGATCTCATCGAAGCCTGAACGGAAAGATTGCTGGCTGCTTTGACCTGTGAACGCCAATTATAAAATCTATCGGGTCGGAGAGTGTCGTATAGGTCAAACGAGTCTGCGATCATAGCACACGGCACAGCACGGGTTCGGGCGATATGCTACAATCATGAATCGCGGCGATCAGCGTCCTTCGATGTGGCTTTACTTTAGTATAATTTTTAAAATATTTCAAAACCACATTTCCTTGCACGCATAACCGCGAAAACGAACACCAGTAAACTTGGGGCGAACCGACTTTGGGGCGAACTGGTCTGGGGCGAATGTGCATTGGGGCGAACTGACTGTGAATCATAGATCGAGCTCATTCACTGGTCGTGACATTGTGTTGTGCAATAATACGTGTAACTGTAACTGTGAACACAAGATCTTTGAGACGTAAATAAAGAAACCTACTTTTAGAATCGAAGTCTACTTACTCCTACCAACTTACCCAACTTTTCCCAGAATTCCTCAAGATTAAATTCAGGTGGGGAAGAGTCTACCCTTGACTCGCCATCTGCAAAGAGAACGATGATTCACGATAAGACCATGAAGACGTAAATGAAGAGATATTGAAATGACAAAAATTCCCGAGACGAAAGTCACAAATTATGGTGGACGTTTACACCAGTTACAAAACACTAGAAAATGTACTGACATAAATAAACCCAGATATTGATTAAAATAAGTTCTGATCATTCAAACCTTTAACTTGGTCAATAACATTTTGCAAATTGACGATAAATGTTTCCAAGACTTCGTCCACCGTCCCGGACGCCATTTTTGTTCTCACTATTGTCCCATTTCTAGGCTGTCAATTCAAACCGTTAAGCAGAATACATAAATTAGTCTAATATTCTCGAAATATTAATTGAAAATATTCAAAAAATCATCAGCATTTTACATTGATGTAGAACCATTTTTAGTATTTTCATTATGATTGTTCATGAAATATCAAACGTGATTGAAAATGAGTCTTCGAATTAGGTAAATAAGGTGCCATAGTTAAGAGTGTGCAGTAACTCAGGTTTATACATTGTACGTACGTGACTGTTAAATCCTCTAATTTTGACGAAATGGACGACGCAGAGCTCGAAAAAATTCGCGAGAAACGCATGGCTGAACTCCAGCAGCAGCTCGGGGTAAGAATGTAGTAAATATTCGATTATTATGGTATGAAAAAAAAAACAGGTACCCGATAAGAATTCAACTGTCAAAATAAAAAAAAACATCTTGAAACATGTTCATTTCCACACTAAATATCGTAGGGGGTGAAAATCTGTTTTTGTTGAAAATAAGCTAACAAGCAGTCAGGATTCTGTTCACATTCACACGTAAACACTCGTATATGATCGTTCGGCATACTTGGGAAGTGGACCAGTGTGGAGTGAAGAAATTAAATGCTGTATATTTAATAATAATTTATTAACACTTACACATTCCCCGGAGGGATTGGCAATGGTTACAACAGTTTAAGAAGGAATAAAAGGTTACAAAAAAGTAAATAGATAAAATAAAATAAAACAAACTAAGCTAATACATTACAGATAATAACAAGTATACAATTATGATACTACAATAGATAGAAAACAAAATGCAAAACTTAAATAGTGAAAGAAGGTTGTCACTGGGGTTGCCGTCTTATTTCAAAACACTTCTTTAGGTACCTTGCTACAGGGAGTGTTAGACCACTGTTGTTTAGCAAGGCTATGAATTGTGTCTTTGGTGACAAATTTTTAAGATTTGCGGTTTTGGTTTTTCATTTTGATCACAAAGGTTGCATAATCTATTAGCAAGGAGTATTCTTTTGTGTCTGCCAGTCTCAATTTTCAAGTTATGGTCACTGAGGCGGAATTTAGTTAAATTTTCATGCATCTCAATATTTTGCAGGGTAACAAGGTAGGTTTCAAAAGCAAAATTGTTTTTTAATTCTCTGTATGTTCTTAATTTATTTTTTTCAATTTGTTTTGATCGATTGTCATTATGTAATTCACTTTTCCAAGTTGATATGAATGATGTTTGTATATTTTTGTTAATTTGTCCTAATTGCCTTGCTGTTAGAATTTCATCGCTGTCGACCAGGTTAGACTGGTTGATGTTACCGATATTCAAAAGGGAGTCTATATTGGTGTACCATTTACTATTAACTTCTTTATTTTCTTGGAAAACTAGTTTTTGTAATGGGTTTGACGAGTTCTTTACATGATTAAAATATTTTATCATTTGTTTTTCGATAAAAGTCTCCAATGGGTAACGTCCAAGTTCACCGTATAACCCCATTGTTGTGGTGTTTTTTGATGTCCCCAAAAGAAAACGAAGATAATTTATATGTACATCTTCAATTGGTGATTTTAGTGTAATTTCATCTCCCCATACATCACTACCATATGTGAGAATTGGTCTGATTAGTTTATCAAACAGAGAGAGTGACAGTGGTATACTTAGATTTTTGCCTGTTTTTCCCTTTAAGGAAAATAAGACCTTTAAAGCTTTACTTTTTATGCTTTTTAGGCTTTCCTTGAATTTCCCATTAGTGATTACTATTAATCCTAGGTAATTGTTGATTTTACAGTAATTAATTCACAACCTTCAAAGAAGAAAATATCATTCTCTAGAAGTCTGCTTGATCTGTTAAAGATCATAGTTTTTGTTTTTTCCGTGTTAACAGTTAGATGCCATTTTTTAGTGTATATCGATAAATTATCAAGGCAAGTTTGTAATCTTGTTTTTGATTCAGAAAGTATTACAAGATCGCCAGCATACATTATACAGTTAACAGGTGTATTTTGCAGTTTGGGTGGGTCACATCTAGGTTTATTAAGAACATCAGGTAAATCGTTTATGAAAATATTGAATAGGGTTGGGCTTAAGTTACAGCCCTGTTTTACTCCCACCCTTGAAGTGAAGTGTTCAGTTAATCCTTCTTCGCTCTTAACTTTATATTTTACCTTACTATACATATTTTTGATAATTTTATAGATTTTGCCCGATATTCCAAGTTTTAACAATTTAATATACAACCCCTGATGCCAGACACTGTCGAAGACCTGTTTTAAGTCAACAAAGCATGCCTATATTTTATTTTTATTTTTATTATTATTTTTTTTTGTATTTTAATATTTTCTTTGTTATTGAAAGAGCTACTATGATAAAGATATTTGTTAATTATTGTTTTAAGAATGAAGATATTATCTGTTGTGCGTCAATCTTTTCGGAATCCAAATTGCTTGTTTGAAAGTATGTTTTTTCTCTCTAAGAATGTGGTTAGTCTAATGTTTAGAATGCTTGTAAATAATTTGCCAAGGCAACTTGAAATGGTAATGCCTCTATATAGTTTGATGCCTCTATTTAATATGGTGTGATAAACGGACAAGGATGGGGATGGGCGCAAACATCCATGTCTGAGGATTATTTTAATTATAACACCTAGAAATGTCAACAAATTTAATATACATGTATATGCAATGGTATCATATACACTTGCATTTCAGTTATGATTAAAATTTACAAGAAAACAATATGCAAATAGGTAACCTTGAAGATTAATGGTGGGTTTGTTGACTCATACAAATGTGAAAAAAAGATTTAATATTGATAATTGACACAATCTGCTTTGTATGTTCATGATTGATTTTCAGCACTGCCTTGTTATTTTTTGATAGCGTTTCAATAATGGGCAGTGTGCATTATTATGATATGCTTGTCATCAAATTTACGATTAATAATAATTGATTGCATGAAATAGGGTGGGTAATAATTTCACTTGTTTGTAGGAGACAATATGCAATAACTTGTTTAATCTACTTGTCATCAAATTTACTATGAATAATTCTCAAATATTATATTTCAGGGTCAAGGAGGGCCCTCAAGTCAGAAAGATCAAGAAGAACGTAAAGCTAGGTACAAGATACTCAACTATACAAACATATTATCAGGTTACAATTCATTGAAATGCAAACTATGATAGAACGCCATGGCCTTGTTCTGGAGTGTATCTTTCACTTGTGAAAATACAGCTACAGCATCGCATCAGTGATAAAAATAACTACTCCACAAATGTCTGGAAGAGGCCATGGCATTCTGTTGATATGTAAATGACATGTAAGTTGGTATGTAAATAATGTGTAAGTTTATATGTAAATCACATGTAAGTACATATGTAAATCACATGTAATATGTAAACAATGTGTAAGTTTATATGTAAATCATGTGTAAGTATGTATGTAAATCATGTGTAAAAATGTAAATTGTGCGTAAGTTCATGTAAATATCACATGTAAATATGTAAATCATGTGCAAGTTTATATGTAAATCACATGTAAGTACATATGTAAATCACATGTAATATGTAAACCATGTGTAAGTTTATATGTAAATCATGTGTAAGTTTATATGTAAATCACATGTAAATCATGCGCAAGTTTATATGTAAATCACATGTAAATATGTAAATTATGTGTAAATATGTAAATCACGTGTAAGTTTATATGTAAATCATGTGTAAATATGTAAATCATGCGTAAGTTTATATGTAAATCATATGTAAATTATGTGTAAATATGTAAATCACGTGTAAGTTTATATGTAAATCACATGTAAATTATGTGTAAATATGTAAATCACATGTGAATTATGTGTAAATATGTAAATCATGTGTAAGTTTATATGTAAATCACATGTAAATATGTAAATTATGTGTAAATTTGTAAATCATTTGTAAATATGTAAATCATCTGTAAATATGTAAATCATGTGTAAGTTTATATGTAAATCACATGTAAGTTATTATGCAAGTTTCACCATTTTTATTCAGACAAGAAGAAATGAAACACAGTATTCTTGCTCAAGTATTAGACCAGTCAGCAAGAGCTAGATGTAAGTTCTTCAAATACAGTTCTTAGCAATGTTTTCTTAGAATATCCATATTTTGCTTACATGTATATATTAATATACAAGTATTATAAAATTACATGTTGCATTGTTGATGTGGGTCAGATGTACTACTGGCATTGCTTGCTGTTATAGTGGACATGATGTTACCTACTTGGAGGGCACTGTAAACAGCATTAATTTTGTCAAAGACAAGTCAGTGAAAATGGTGAGATATTGTGGCACTGTGAACAATTTCCAGCAACGAAAATTAAACTGTTTATAGTTTTACATGACAATCTGTGTGATATCACTTTGTATTTATAATTAAGTGATCTTTGTATTGAGATGAGTCAATATACCTACCTTTTTATTATACAAAGTTTTAAGATGTATGTGTGTGATACTTAAGCAGGTTTTGTTATTTTTTTTGGAAATTGATGCCTTGCTTCAAACTTTCTTCAAAAGAGTACTATGGGTGTTACATAGACACGGACAAATTATACTGTACTCATCTGACTTAGAACCCATGCCCAACTATGTGCTCACATGCACTTTTGGGGATTTTCCTTTTCTCAGGGTCATGTTCGACTAAGGGCCCATCTCTAAAACATCCTAAATTAAACGGTCAAGAGGTCATTGCCAACGCATTTAAACATTGATAATTTATTCCTATTGTGTGAAAAATGCCTTCGTCAATTTTAAGAAAATTGTTTGATTGAATAATAACAGATTTGACCTGTCAAGGTCAGGTCCTGTTGTTGCAGTCAAATCATGCAGAAAAACATCATGGCCGAAATTAGTTTGCATTGAGAGTTTTTGTACAATTTAAAACGTACAACAACAAAGATAATAATGAAGCTTTTGAGTTTGACCATTTTCCCACAGACCCAAATAATTTTTACCCAGTAAATTCTGATAGTAGAATAGAATAGAATAATGCTTTATTAATACCTGAAAGAAAGAGTTAACATTTCTTTTTAGGTTTTCAGATTAATAAAGTAAATAATAAAAGTACATGAAATGTAAAAATTGTTTTAAAAAATTGATGAACGACAAAAATACTACAGACAATTATTAATAATATAAGAAATATTAAAATACTGTGATATGTAAGTATACCTGTATGCAGCACCAGAATATGTATAAAATATAAAAGAACATGACAAAATAACATTAGTGTTTAGATTTAACTAAATATTTGCAGAGAGTGATAAGATGGTTTGTATTTGGTGACTGTAGTACAAGTTTAAATTGTTCTTTTTTGTTTAAGTTTTAGTAATCAATGTTAATTTCTTTAAGGATATTATATATGTCATCTCTGTGTTCTGTGTACAGTTTACATTCTAGTAAATGATGTAATTCATCCTCTTATTTCTTTACAGTGGGTGCATAATCTGTCCTTTATCAGTGTTTTTGGTTTTGTGTACCTTCCTGTTTCTATAGCTAGTTTGTGACTACTTGTTCTAAATTGTGCTAGTATTTTGATGTAATGTCTGTTATCTATGTGTTTTATGTAATGTTCCATGTCTAGTGTAGTTTTGTATGTACCCGGTACTGTAAATGCGCAGTTTTGCATCGTCTCTTTTATTGTCATTGTTATGAAAAATAGTCATCATAGTATGTAAAAAATATTGTACTAAAATGTGCATATTTTTTGTGATCATTTCTGTTTCATCATTGTAAAAGTTTTGTGGAAATCAATGGCAACGCAACTCATTTCTCAATTTTATGAGATGCAAGATGAGGGATTAAAGATAAAGGATATCCAATGAGTGAACATGGTATCAGATTAATCAATAATTTATAAATTTTTATATGCGAGGAAGATTCTTCGTGTGTCCTATTCATTTGCATACAGGAATGCTGTTCATTGAATAAACCTTTGTGATCAGTTTATCGTCTGTGATTAAAAAAAAAGATTAATTTTTGAAACCGATTACGTTTATAGAGACACATTGGCAACATTTTTACTAAATTTTGAGCTAATTTTATCAGCGGTCTTCAAGCATCTCAACAATAAATCAGCGAGAAGTAATGGTGATTCAGTGGAGAAATTAATCCAGTGTGTTGCCGAGGTAAGGCTGGGATATTTAGAACTTAGTTTCCCAAATGTGACTGTAAAATGAAAATATAACTATAACTATTGATATATTTTGAAAACATTAAGATTGATCACGTATCATGATTTTAACTGCAATAATACATTGTCTTGTCACCAAAACTAGCTATGATTTGGCACAGCACAATGAAAAAAATTACGATTCAATCTGTTCAATTACCCACTATAGACTCCGGTCAGTCAAAAGGACTATTTTGAACTGTAGGCATTAATCAGCGATTCTGCCAATGATGGAGAGATAGAATCTAGGTCAGGGGAAGCCCCATGACCCCAAGATTCTTTTCCCTTATTTCACGAACCATGTGGCCGAGGCCATGTGGCAGCACCATCATAGCCAGATAATCACTTCTATTTTTATCTCCGCACCTACGGGGATAAAAATTTAGCAGCTCTGCCTGACAGGCCTGCTTTTTCCTGTCCAGGTTTTTGGCTTAACCGACATTGTAGCTGGTAGGATAAGTTTTCCTGGTTATTACCCTTGTGTCGATTTCCCCTTTGTGTGTAGCATTTCTCATTTTGTTGTGTCATCTTTTCCAACTGTATTTCGCTTCCCTCATGCATGTTGTGTTCATTTTATGCTTTATCAATGTATTTAGAAATGGATAGATGTAATGACAGCACCAGAGGCTCGCCGTCGGTTTTGTCTCCTCGTTTTTCGAGATGACTGTGCAGTGGTTATAATCAGAATTTACCAGCATAGAACCCGCATCAGAAATGCTATTTTTGCCATGACTGCGTGCAGGGTTCAGGGTTTTTGCCTTGAAGGTGTGTTTTTCACTGGAGTTCTGAGGCCTGGGCTGTTTTCCAGAGCCATGCAAAATCACTGAGACTGACCGCGTCGCTCGTATTTTCACGCGTCCAGTAAAAATCGGTTGCGTGTTGGCATGAGTGGAAGGTCCTCACGCTCGGCTACCGGTACTTCGTGTACTGAGACGTTGAGTAGGAGGCCCGATGGCATCGTCCGAATCGCACGGTCATGTGTCTTCGACCTATATGGCCTCTACACAATACCGTGCGGGATCGCATAGGCTAATTGCATATCTTAAGCAGTGAGATCTGATTGGGCGCGCCTAGAAACAAGGTGCCCAATCAGCTTGGACGCACCAAATTATAAAACAAAATTCCACTTCCTGTTTTTGTCGCTATGAAGACATCCTTTCCACACAAAACTGCGTCCATTGCCTGTACCTGATGAGGCTTGAGGGCACCAACACCGAAAACTTTCGCAATTTTATCATCACAAATATCACGATTCATGGGCGCCGCCATTTTGTTTAAAATGAAACTCCAAAGGGATATTTGTAACACGCAAACTGATTGGACAATGATTAGCCGCAACTGACAACTAGGTGCGCTGTTAGAATATGCATATTTGATGGTCGTTCTGCCAAGGTCTTTTTAGAGACTTGGCCGAATAAACTTAGACCTTGGCTAGCGAAGTTAGCCCAATGGTGGAGGTACCGATATTTTTCAATCTCCCCCTACTGATTGGAGGGCATCCTCAAAGTCTGTGGTTTCAGGCAGTGGTTTACCCTATTTTACCGGCTACAGCGAGGCTGTGCCTCTGGAGGTCTTTCCTCCTATGGGCCCTGTTGCGGGTTCCTTTGTGGATCCATCCTCGCACGGCGCCGGGTTTGCCTCCAAGATGAGGGCTTTGGTCGAAGGACTGCCGGGGCAAATTGTGTCCCTGGCAGGCCGGGTAGAACACATGCAGTTGGAGCGAGCTGTCTCCACTGCAGCCCCTTGGTAGGCAAGCAGGAAGAAACACAAAAGCATCGCTCGCATTCAAAACATGTCTCTTCTGGGGAACTCCCCGTTTCCAGCCGCGACTCTCCCGCTGATTTGGGTGAGGCCGAGGCTCAGGCTAGTTGCACTGAGTCTCCTCTGGGACCTCGGGCACTGAATGGCAACAGGGATGCTGGCAACCATGCCTCCAATTTTGGGGCAGGGCTTTCGGTCAGGACACACGTTGCACCTCCCTCCTACTTTCCAGCCAGCCAGCCAAGGTTCGTCGCGTGGTACTGGACTCAGGAATTTACCCTTGAGTCTTGGCTGAATGCTGAGTGGGGCGCAGAGACTGTGTTGATGGGCGGACGTTGGTCAGCCGCGGAGGAGGTAACACTTAAGGCCCCCGGGTGGGGTAAATCTTATGCAACAGTTTCCGCTAGACCAAACGCTACCCGGTCTGTGTGGTTTCAGGAACAGACCCCAAAGTGTGGGATGAGACCAAAACGCCCCCGACCGGATCCCAAGGCTCTTTCCCCAGACCTCGGTACCACGAATTTTGGTTTGGCAAGCCAGGTAAAGAGGACGGCCACGTTCCATGAGCGTTCTCGCCAGCTCAATCTGAGACAATCCGTCACGCCCTGAGGGCAGAGTTGCTAGAACACATTATTGTGCGCGCCCAGGACTCGAAGACCTCGGAGGCAGAACGCACTAGCCTCCTAGACCAGGCAACACTTTTACTGGTCGGCCACCGCACATCTACATGCGACATTCCCCAGTGTCACCTGGCTCTGGCTACTGGCTACTACTGTGCAACGAGACATGTGTGTTTTCTGCGGCGAACTGGGTCAGGGGGTACATCCCCACCTCTGTGATGCAGACTGGACATCTTCCACCCTCGTTGATGGGGAGATGGCAAGTGCAGTCTCGGAGCTTCGAAGTGCAGCAAACCAGATGGTTCAGATATAATCTGCTAGCCAGTTGGCCACTGCCAAGGGTAAATGGAGGGTGCCCAAAGCACAGAAAACACAATGCCCTAAGGCGACGTCCGCTAGCCAGATTCAGCCAGGAGGCAAACGCTCATACCCTTCCACGGGAGGAAAAAGTAGCAGCGTGCCCTCAGGGAGGAATGGACTAGGTGGTGGCTCCTCATCCTCCT